AGACGAGTACAAATATCACGCAGTATTTGTTCTGTAGAGTACCAGTTCAACAGGTTTTCTTGCATCGTGCAAGTGAAGAATTGGATTGTAGTTACGAAAAAAAAAATGGCGGACAATTTGAATTGTATTTCCGATGACAAAGAGTCAGAATGGCTGGCAAATATATAGATCCAAGGTTATAAGATGAATCGAATGAAGAAAAACAGCATGACCACCAGGAAATTTCTTTATCTATTGAAGAAAATAGAATCAGCAACATGACAACGCGCCAATTCCATTCCGCTTCGCAAACTCCTGTCACACACTCCCCGTAAATAAATATCCACAAAATTCGCTCACACTGAACTAACAGTCTGGCATGTTGGATAATAAATAACTTTTTAGACGTTTTGTTGTGTAGTATCGCTGAGTATTTTTACTCATTATTTGTATTTTGACTTGCCCTACGGGCTCGTCAAAATACGGCACAACTCATAAAAATACTCAGCAATACTACAGAACAAAACGTCTGATGAGATAAATCTATTTTCTGAACAAGAATAACCCCCTTTAACCCCGGCTGTATGACCTCTGCTCAGTGCTGGCCTGATTTCCTTAATGCACATACACAAACCTTAAAACAAAATAATTATGTTAATATGTGATGCTAGGAGCCTTTTAGGGCTGTTCTGTGCAACAAATGTTGTATTTTGGATTATAGATTCTATACTGTATCACAATATATGTGACAACTGTTTCTTAAGTTAATATAAAAAATAAAATGTACCTGTGAATCAGGTTTCTGCAGTAAGGGATGCTGCCATCTTAGCTGTACTGCTGCTCTTGTGTGGCCCAGAAACTGTCAATAAAACAATTAGATGAGTATTATAAATTATGAGTACTTTTAAAAAATCATTACTACTACTACTAAAAAAAAAAAAAAAAACAATGGAGCAAGTCTCTATTCCAAAAAAAAAAAAAAAAAAACAATGGAGCAAGTCTCTATTCCATTGCAAGTAAAGGTTAAAGGCTAATTAATACTGAACTTGTGCAAATTATACCATCCAACTGGAGCTTAGCTTGGCTTCTATAGCATGAACTGATTTTAAGTCTTGTCTTCCCCCTGGATGAGATGCTGGTTCATTGTTCCCAATCCCTGCCTCAGCATTTTGTCAACTTTCCTTAACAGTTTACTGGTACCCATTCCTTCTCCAAATGGAGACAGGCATGGTGGAAGTGAATTGGAGCTTCGGTGCAATTTTAATTTCCTGAAAAAACAAGGCTACTGGATCTCCTAAATTTGGCTTTAGTCTGAAGGAGTATGAAGTTTGTAGACATTGTTCACCACAACAGGAAATTAAGTAAAGGTACCTTAAAGGTATTTGATGAATCTTGATGTTTACATCTTTTTGCAATAAGCCTCCATACACCAGTAACGGGCCTTGTATACTGAAAAGAGTACTTGCCACAAATACAGTGGATGATCTGTAAAGCAAAAATTCCTGACCCATTTAAAACCACAGTTTTCTCTCAGTACAAAGCTTTGGTGTTTTGCCTCAAGAGAGCGTTTGGAAGTTGTTTTTTCAAGAGAAACTCAGGTAAACAACGTAACCACTTCGAGTTATAAACTGATAGAATATTACATAATTATTTTCTGAAGACAATATTGCTTGACCGGCTTCCATCATAATGTCAGCAATAAATGTATTCGACAAAGTGTTCGAACATTCAAATCACCCTTACAGTAGAGAGTTCACATGGTGCCACCTAACTTCTGTCTATCCGGAAAACCGGAAACAAAATTTTTCGCGTGGAACTTGCCGTGATCTCCCCGGCGACTAGATGCCGGGAGCAGTTAAATTCTTCAAAACCCACCTGCTGAAGTTACTGAGAAAAGAACCAGGCCACACTAACTCTTACCTGGCTCCTTAGAGAAACTCTTAAGGTTCTATTCATCGTAAAAGAGCTTCATTACATCATACAATTAGGAATGACGTGCTAGCGACGACAATTTGAAATAGCAAAGTCCTCCTTCCATCTTTCAATGCTGCATCGCTCCATCGGCCGCTATACTGTAGACTGTAACAAGTCAGCGGTATTATATAGTGGCATGTGGAACAAAACAAAGTGTACCGTCATGCTGGGCCGGGAACTGTTGATGGTTTAAATTATAATGATAGCAGAAGATTGCAAGTGCGTGTCTAATGTTGAAGGGCATCTTAAGATATAAGAGCAGTTTAGTAAGTTTCATTTATCATTTTAAAACTACCTCGTAAAAGGGTAGTTTGCAGTAATGATACACTAAATGTTGTTTTACTTGACGTAGTAGTAAAATTTGCTTTTCTGAACAGTCATCACCTGAGAGTTCATTAATTTACAATTTAGGAACGTTTTAAAAATGGTTGGTGGCCGGAAAGAACTTATGGAATATCTTGAAAACTTGGGAATCACTTCAGAAACGGTGGAACATCCTGCAGTTTTCACCGTGGAGGCCATGATGCCGTATGTCGGCCATCTTTCAGGAGCGCTCAGCAAGAACCTTTTTCTAAAGGACAAGAAGAAAAAACGCTTGTGGCTTTTCACGGCTTTGGCAACTCGCGAGATCAACTTGAACGATCTTGCTAAAAAAGTCGGAGCAGGTGGAGGATTTCGGTTTGCGGACGAAGCAGTAATGTTGGAAAAACTTGGTGTCGGACAGGGTTGCGTGACGCCCTTATCCCTGTTCAACGACAGCCAACAAGAAGTCACGTTTTTGCTGGACGCAAGTTTTGTGGAGGATAATCACGAGAAAGTGAACTTCCATCCGATGACTAACGAGGCTACAATTGGCATGAAACCCGAAGATTTCATCAAATTTGTCAAAGCAACTGGGCATGACCCAGTCATTGTGCACTTCTAGGATCGTTGTTAAATTACAGCTGTAACGGGAACATTGCTTGTGGACACGAGTGTGAATTGTGTTCAAAATTTGCTTGAAATTTGTCACTAGCATACAAAAGTTACGCAATCCAAGTATTATGCAGGGACACTTGGGTATCTGAACCATGGGGTATTCCCTCTCTTCCAGCATAGTCCTTAGCATGGGTCGGGTCATAAAAATTGGCAAAAGACAATTTCTTTCCTTTGTTAATTATTATTTCTATTTCCCAGGGCCCAGTTATTCAAAGAGAGGATAATGCTATCCATCAGATAACTCACTATCCTGGGAATAAGAGTAAACAGAACGTACTGCACTATCCACTGTATAGAGATTTATTCAGTGGATAGCATTATCCATTCCTCTAACAACCAACAAAGATGACTAGTGAGATATCGATTCACCCTGCAGGTTATACTGAGAAAGAGGGATTTCAAGTAATCTATGTGTAAATTAGAGTTCTTCTATTAAGGAAATGTACTCACATCAGTGGCATCTTGGTTTTTAAGTTGAAATCCAGAAAGAATACCTCTGTGCATCTTTCACTCCCAACCCCCACCCNCGACCAGAAAAAACAAGCACGTGCGGAAAAATAGTCTTTGCATTTGCTCATGTCAGCAGCGTACACCCATGGGCAAATGGGGGACGCTAAATTGACCAATCAGAGCGCGCGCTTTACTTTGGTTATGTTATAATGTAATTTTATTTCAAAAGTGTCATGCAATGTATGTAACGAATAGAGCTAGGATATTGTGTAAATTTTGGATACAATTTTCTATTTTGTACAACTGAACCTAACCTGAGATAACTCATTTTACAGTTTGAAACTTTTTTGAAAGCCTCATTTATTTTTCCATCCAGCTATCTTGTGCTATTTGTAAGTACATCTTAGTCCCTTCAGCCTCACTTCTCTCTCTCCACACTAATATTGTCTTTTATTATATGGCTGTGTCTCACAAGGACTGGGAACTACGGAATTCACGAATTTAATTGGCTGAAATCAATGAAAGTGGTCTAGATTTTCCAATCTAGACTGGCATCTAGACTGGTCTAGAAAAAAAGGTACAAAGAATATAAAAAGTTGGCATATAAGACATAGCCCTATAATAAACATCTTATTAACCGAGCTAGGTCGGTCTGTATGGGAGAATCTTGACCTTGGTTGCTGGTACAGACTTCACTGTGTTCGGTCTGTACTGGCAACATCGGTCAAGATTCTCCCATACAGACCTCCTGCTCGGTTAATAAGAACTAACTCTCACTCCTTTAAAATATCGACACTTCTGACAAAAAACATGCAGTCACCTCCAACTGTGACAAAAAAAAAAAAAAATACAGACCATTACACACTGTCAACAATGCAACTAATTTTCTCAAGTAAAATGATAATATTCAAAGAGAGAAAAAGGGTTGCCTTTACATCTACTGGCACTGCTTAAAAATATCCAAAATCTTTTTGAACCTAGTGGCCCATACACATTGCCTTTTCTTTGACAAGTTTCCATAAATGAAGCACCTAAGAGAATGGCTGGTCTTTAGAGATGGAATGCTAGTTCATCATTGGTTCTTCCATAGCATTTCCATCAGCTTTTCCCCAAGATTTAACCAATCCTCAATAAGCCTGTCGCATTCCTCTCTCTGTAACACACAAAAACCAGCAGGGCCCAACACTAACTTTTCAACTTACCAGCCAACTGGCTATTGACAACTTAGATGTTGCAACAATTTCAGTTTGTTTACTAGCCAAACTGGCTGGTGGAAATTGAAAACACTTGCCAAAACTGAATTTTTACTAGTCTGTGGCTAGTTCAGGTAACCATTAGTGTTGAGTCCTCACAAGGGTCTCTTTGGTTCTCTTTGATTTTGCCGCTAAGGTTGCCTGGATTTTAGGCCTGTCAAACAATTTTCTTGAAGATCTGGAAGACACTAAAGGCTCGTATCGAAAAAAAAAAAAAGATTTTTTATGTAGTTTGTAAAAATAGTCTATGTTACATAGTGTTCAAAACGACAGAAATCTCAACTTTTGCCCTTGTTTAATTACAGTACAGTGTACACATTGCATTTAATACTAGGTGCAAGCATTTATTTTATGGACAATGAAGTAAAATCAGACCCTTCTTTTTTAGCATGAATGAAGTAAAAAGGCCAAACTTTCTTGAATTCAAATTTCTTACCAAATAACAAAAAAACACTTTGGGTGATTAGAAAAACTAACAAACAAATCTAAGATCCTGGCTGCTTGGTGCCCCAAAAGAGAGAAATATTTTCACTAACAAAAATGTCAGGCATCACAAGTTGGAAAGTGAGCTTAATACACAAAAGTTAAAATTTCATGCTGTACCCCTTGGGCTTTTTTGACCCTTTTTTACCCTAACACCCAAAAGGGTAAAACAAAGAATCTGATCTCACCAACCCATTGGCTGATACATTGGCCAACAGTGGGCAGTATCTGTAGTGTGTCAGTAGTGTGTAGGCCGACGCATTGGCTGACGCATTGGCCTAGCGTTGGTGAGGGATTGGATTCTTTACTTTTACCAAGAAGTCATTGAAATGTAAGTTTTCAAAATATCCAAACATTGTCCAGCAAACAAGAAACAAGAATACCCAAACTTCTTGGGCAGAAGTTGTTCTCTGGAGCTAGCACCAAATTCTCGTAACTAATTTACAAGTATGTATAGTAATAAAGAGGTTTGATATGTGGATCTAACACTGACTTCTCATAACTAAGTTTACAAGAAAGTATGTAGCAGCTAGATAGGAGAATTGACAATCAGATCGCGGGAGTTTAAGGGTGAAGCATGAGTTGAAAAAAGAAATGATCAAGTTCTTTATGATGACTGTACACTCAGATAGGAATCCATGAATGTCAATTACTTTCAATTACCATTTTTTCAGTTTCTTTAAAGAATTCCATTGCAAGAACTTCTGATAGCCGGGAGGAGGCTCGTAGTTTCTAAAAGTTGGGTGAGTCATAATTTTTAGGTCCTCTATCATACCTCTATATCAGTTTTTGCTTTACTGTGTGCCCAAATATTTATTTGAAAAAAAAAATAAAAAAGCTTGACATGGGCTTTAATATAGACAAACAGCAAAGTCTTGAGAGCTACTATTAATAACTTTTATAATGAGGATTCCAATGGATGCCATTGCTACATTAATTTCTGTCCTATTACACAAAACAATAACTTACTGTTATATACACTACAATTTTAGAAATTTGTGTCCCCAAGCAATCTCATAACTATACCCAAAAATTTTCTACTTGTCAATATGTATTGTAAATTATTTGAATGTGTTTTCTAAACAAAAATTGTTAAAATGTAACCTTGTGTACCACTAAGACATATCACACAATAAATTATATAATTTCATTCTCCCTACCAAAGCCAAATTGTTTAGAATCCACCTTGATAATTACATTTCCAAGTGAACTAAATATTGTTCTTGTTCTTAAAATATTTTTATTAACAAATTATACTATCAGTTATAGTAAGGCCAATTCATCCTTCCACAATATTTGCATCACTTGCAGTATGCCATATCTACAGTTTTCCTCCATTCATAAAAAGTTTGAATTCAAATTATTAAAAAAAATTATCACTCAGGTAACCAATGTCATCTTGGATTTAACAGGGGTGATGTTCCCCCACTGTTGCTTAGATCACTGCTTGTTGTAGACCTACTTTCTGTTGATGTTGTCTTGTTCTTTTTTCGTCTCTTGGCAATTGGTGCATGTTGCACATCCATCAAGGTAAATCCTTCTTTGTGCGCTCTATTAAAAGCATCATATGTTACGTTTAATGCAGACTCCACATAAGTTCTTTTGTGTCCTTTGCCCAAAATGCCTGGGGTCATTAGAGGGGTGTGGGGCAGACAAGTACCACCTCTTAGCCACTCATGGTTTACAACTTCTCTGATTTTTAATCTCTTGCTGGGATCCACTGTTAAAAGCCCTAAAGAGGAGAGACACATTTAATGAGGGCTAACTATGGTATAAAAATCGGATGGAAAAATGCAGGAAATAAGACAGAAAGAGAAATAGTCATATGTAAAAATACGGACTGAGTGAGAGGGCAAGACTGGAAAATATTTGGCAGCAAGGTCAGGGACGTATACAAAACATGGACGGTGGTCCATGGACCACCCCTATGGACCCGGTCCATGGACCACCCCTATGGACCCGGTCCATAGACCACTCCTATGGGCCCGGTCCATGGACCACCCCTATGCCTATGGACCTGGTCCATGGACCACCCCTAATTTTTGAAAAGGAGATCGCCCCTGTTAATATGGAAATTTACCGGAGGTCAGGGTATGAAAAACACTGACTCGTATTTATCGCGCTCCCATAAATGGGAAGACCATAAACTCGTTTTGAGATACAGAAGATTGAGTACACTTCTACCCCCAATATTTTTATTCCAACACTTCCAAATTGCAATTCGATTGGGAAGCCACCCCTACCCTGCTTATTATACTCTATCGTGCATAAAAATAAGCCGATTTATTTTAGAAGCGAAGTTTACCCTACAAACACAAATTTGTAATCAAGGTATATTGATGAAAAAGTTTAATGGATAGCTTGTAATTTTAAGGAGAGAGCACAGAATCATTTAGTTTCCATATTAAATGAAGTGTAACCTTGGAGGGGGTAGGTTGCCAGATAACATAAACTCGCTCCAGCCCCTTCGCGCTCCCTCATCCAAGATGGCAGCTGCCTTGAAACGATCCAAAGGTCAGGTGAGTATTTATTGCTCGTACCCACAAAGTACGCCTGTATTGCAAGCTATGTACAGTTGCAAGACTTTGTTGTACTACCCCACGTAAAAGGAAGTCCTTTTACTTAATATATTTATTTATTTAGTGTAAAAAATCAAACACGAGGAAGGAAAAATAGCAACACTTTCCCTTCTCACCTTCCTCCATGTTTCCCACGTGTACAACAAAACTCAGTTCCAGTGGGGTGGTCCATAGGGGTGGTCCATGGACCGGGTCCATAAGGGTGGTCCATGGACCGGATCCATAGGGGTGGTCCATGGACCGGATCCATAAGGGTGGTCCATGGACCCTGGTCCACGTTTTGTAAACGTCGGCGAGGTCAGTGCCTCATGACCTCTAGCAAAATATTTTCAAGTCTGGCTCAACCAAATTCAGTCAATAAGCTTTCACTATGGTTTTCTATGGGATTGCGCAAGCAGGGCTGGATGGGTCATATGATAAAAATACTTATTCACTGAGTTATAGTATGTTGTAGGTGTGGCTCAAGAGGAGAACATTTGACAGGGGTACCTTTGCTACCCTAAATTCAGCCAGTCTAACAACTCTTACTTAGTAAGCTTGAAGTCCCTACTGTAGGTTACAGACCAAGTGGAAAAAAACAGGGTTCCCATAACTTACAGTAATGTGGATCAAGAAATTGAGTTTAGTAAAGATACTTCTTATCTCTTGGTTTATCAGGAAGGGAAGATTTCCATTCAAACAAACTTTAGAATTTAGCAGGCTATACAGTGGAATACAACCTGCTAAATTAACCAATCAGAGCGTACCTAGTAGCTAAGGGATATTATACAATAACTCTATTATTTAGTGCATAAATGACAATCTGAGTTACTGAACAAAAGTATTAGGACTTGCTAAAGAGAATCAGGCTTGAATGAACTGATAAACTCTGACATCAAACCTTTGATGAGGTCTTTCGCAGCTGGTGATATTGACTCCCATTGTTGTCCTTCAAATCTGATGTCACCATGTGTTATTCTCTGCATGATAAAATCCGAGGACCTAAAACTACGACTACTCTGGAATGGCACCTGACCAGACAACATGGTGTACTGTGGTGAAAAAGATGAAAAGAAACTTTTATATCATAGTTACATGCTGAGATTTACATGTCAGACGAACAATGTATTTTCACAGTTGTTTGCTTCCAATCTTTGAAATGTGTCAGTCATGCAGTAAGAAAAATTCTCAGTACTTGTTGCGGTGAATCAAAAAAGACTCACTCATTTGCTGTGCTCACTTGTTTGTTTTTTTTTTATAACTGATGCATTGCAACTCATGAATAAAAAATTATCTGTGCACACTTTCCATGAAATAATCACCATTATCTTCATTCATAAATTAATATATAATAATAATAATAATAATCCAAATATTTATACAGGATAACCTATCAGTTCTTAACAGAAAGAACTGTTATCAAAAGGGTCCTGTCCTTAACTCATAAATTAAAAATAAATAAATGACTCTAAGAAATCTAAGATTTACATGACTTACAGGATTTAAGAGAGTTATGAGTTAATTGGATACTATTAAAAAAAAACTCTTTTAAATTACTCTCACAAAGAAACCTTGAAGGTGAAAAAATTAATAGTTAAGACTTTCATTAAAGTAAAACATTAGAAATCACTGATTGTGGCCAAAAGCGAAGTTAATGAATTCACCAACCCTTACTCACTCTACAGTATATTAACTCTGTTCATGAAAACTAACAGTACCCAGTTTGCAGCTTAACAGATGAACAATTCTCCTTTTCTGCACAACATAATTATATCATTCTACTGGAGACCCCATCTGAATGTTCTGTTCTGCTCACCATTATGACTCCAAGACTCCATAGGTCACATGATTCATCATACCCACTCCTATTCACAGTTTGACTGATGACTTCAGGTGCAGCATAAGCTGCAGTGAAGCAAGGCGTCCTTAGGGGTTGATTTTCAGGCTTAAGTCTTGCAAATCCAAAGTCAACAATTTTCAATTCTGCATTCTCTGAATTATCTACAAACAGTAAGTTCTGAAGAAAACAAATAAGAAAAAAAAAAATCATTGTTCGTAACAAGTACAGTAAATTTATGACCCTCTCACAGTATTTTCTTGTTTTTAAATTTCTTTTTAATCTTTTAACTCCCAGAAGTGATTATCATGTTTATTTACTTTTCCCCATACCATCTACGCATTATCCATTAAAAAGGTAATGACAATACTCAAACTTGTCACACAGAAATTTTCATCTCGATCTAACACCAAACTGTCATAACTATAGTTTAAAAGAAAATGTGTAGCAGTTAGAGGTGCGAACAAAAAGTCAAGTCCACTGACAAAACATCTGAGCAAATTTTCATGCCAAATAGAGGCTAATTGTTTATTTATTAAAGCACACACCTCAGGTTTTAAATCTCTATGTACAACTCCTCGGCCATGCATGAATTCCACAGCAGAGGCTAATTTCCTAATTATGTTGCTTGCTTCCACTTCACTAAAATTTTTCTTTTTCCGTATTCTTTCCAACAGCTCTCCACCTCCCAGTAATTCCAAAACTAAATAGGTATGGAACTGCAAATTAAAGAAAGTCATCCAAATGAAAAAGTGTTTTATACATAGATGACAAAATCACGTTATGTGTAAGGAGTGAATACCCTTTATAGCATGGTAACATCTCTTACAAAATCATACATGGCCGGTTTGCCACTGACAGCAACTCCATAACAAGGAGAGACAAATCATTCTCTTTGCTGAAAAATCATAAAATTCTGAAAACTAATAGTCCATTTTACAGTTGTGTGCTTGGTTGCCAAGCATTTGAATGGGAGTGAGGCTAGAGTTGACCTTGTTATAATGATACAAACCTTGCTGCCTTTCAAATGTAAATTACTTTCAATTGTTATCATGCTAAGTAGATACAGGTCTCTATCACAACAAGGTCACCTTCAGCCTCACTCTGAATCAAAGGCTTGGCAACTAAGTACACAACTGTAAAATGGCCTATTGATCAAGATATGCATAACTATTAAGAGGGAAAGTTATGAACCACATTCTTAGGGTTAAAAGTTTAAATTAACGCACTTACATCATCCTGAAACACTTCTTGTAGCCTGACAATATTAGGATGACCTTGACAGATTCTTAGAGATTGTTCTTCCCGGATATGGTCGCGCCTGCGATGAGAAAGGAATCAAAGTAAGATGAGAATTCCTCCA